TTTTTTTTTTTAGTGCTGACGGTAATTATGAGGTATCATTTATGTCTAATGTGGTCATTAAGCATACCGGTGAAATGCTTTGGGTACCACCAGCAATCTACAAATCTTCATGCATTATTGATGTAGAATTCTTTCCATTTGACGAACAGCAGTGCCATCTAGTTTTTGGTTCATGGACGGTGATTTTTTTTTCTCCAAATTTTTGACTTACAAAAGTTTGCTTCTTTACTTTTTTTTTTCTTTCTCTTTTTTAATGTTAAAAAATAATATAACTTTAACTTTTGTTGTGTTATAAGAAGAAGAAAAACTGAAGAAATAAAGAAAAAGTGATTTTATTATTTACATTTATTTAATCTTATAACGATAACTGACTGATTCGATTGCACAGTGCTGAATATATGTTGCTAAAATAGTCCGACAAAAAGCAACAAGCAAATTTGATAAACTCTGTTGCATTATCAGATAAAATTTTATTAGCAGCAAACAAATCGAATAAAACAATTCTTGTCTTTTGTTCTTTTATAATGGTTTTGACAGAAAAAAAATAAAAGAAGAAAAGCAAAATTTCTATTCTCTCTTTTTTGTTTAGTATAGTGAAAAAGAAATAACCATGGGCTTTGTGGAAGGCGAATATGTGGATACATCAGAATATATGTTAAGCTCAATTTGGGACTTGATTGACGCTCCAGCGAGTTTAGTTAAAAATCGATCTTGGATTGAATATCAAGTTCGGATAAGGTTAGTGGTCACTGACAATTTAAAGAATTTTAATAAACAATAGAACAACATAACTTTTTGCATCAACCAAGCATAATTGCAAATATTAGTCTAATTTAATTAAGCCTTAGAAAAGTTCGTCAGTCGTTACCAACAGATATCCCTAAAGAGAATAAATAGTTTTATTTTAAGTGGCAATAAAATTATTCTAAAAAAACCTATAAAATTTGGACTAAAATAGCCGTAGAAAATTCAGTTGTCACTTATTTATAAGAGTGAAACCGAAGCTACATGTAATTAATAGTATCTACTTACTTATTACGCTTTATGCAAACGTTAGAAACTGTTCTTATACAAAATTTTGCAGACGTAAAACACTTTTTTATACGGTGGTTTTGATTATTCCAACAGTTCTGATGGCTTTTCTTAGTATGGCTGTTTTCTACTTACCTACTGATTCAGGTTCTTCTACTACTTTAGACTTTAACTTTTTCATGTTACAAGAAAAATTTTGCTTTATAAAAAAAAAAAACAAGATTTTGCTAAAATTTTGCATTATTTAATCGTTACAAAATTAAAAAGCTATAAAAATAGCTAAAAATAGTTTTAATTCATTCAATTAAAAATAATCATAGTTCAGACAACAACTTTGACACGTCAAAAAACTGACAGTTTTAAGTTTCATTAAAGTCAAAATGAGGACTAGGAAATTGCCAGAAATGTTGATAAAATTTGGCCTAGTTGAAGACCAGTTTAAAAAATTTTGACCAGTTGAAGAAATGAAGTAAACTGATGACGACAACATTTCTAAGTAACATTTTTGAGATAGTACTTTTCGTTTCTGTTTAGCATCAGAATTGTGTCAGAATAATTCTACAGTATACTCTGGGACTCCAAGTTCTTTATTGCTTATCTTCAGTATCAATCAAAAAGCTCCCTTTCAGGCTTAGTAATAGTTCTCTAAAAAAAAAAAAACTTGACTGCAATCTGTACGTTACAGTAACCGTAAGTAGCAAAAATTTTTTGATGTTGTAAATGCTAAAAAATTTTGTTGATTTTAGGAGAAAAAATGACTTTAACAATATCAGTTTTACTTTCTATTGTTGTCTTCTTGTTGCTGGTATCAAAAATTCTACCTCCCACATCCTCAACTATCCCTTTGATGGCAAAATATTTGTTACTTACTTTTGTGCTCAATGTCATTACTATTTTGGTCACTGTTGTTATTATTAACGTTTATTTCCGCGGTCCAACTACACATCGTATGCCTCCATGGGTTCGGCGAATATTTCTTCACGTACGTTCTTATAGCTTTAGTATTTGTTTACACCTAATCAGATTACACTCAAAACTCAGCGTTCCTTAGTACAACTGACACCTTGCTAATGAATTTGGCTATATCTTCGAAAATTGTAAACAATACAGCTTTAATTATGGTTTTTAATAAGTAATTTTGATGGTCAGAGCGTTTATTAAGTTTAAACTTCTAAATCAAACCTTTTTGTGGCTGTATCAATAACAGGTAAGTTGTTTTAAAAGTATGGCTTTATTTATGTATATTATAAAAAATCATAATTCTTGCTATAAAACTTTATTTCTTTCTTTCTTTATACTCAAATTTCAAAGCTCTTTTTCTCAATTCTTTTAAAAGCTTAATAGAAGTAGCAGAATTTTAATGACTAAATTTGAACTTCACTACCGTATCGCAAAGAATTACAATTCAAATTTCTTGCGTTAATTCTAAAATTAGATATTCACTTGATTAATCTTTATGTTTAAGGTAATGCCAAAATTTTTGTGTTTGCAAAGGCCAAAGCAAACTTTGCGAAAACTGATGCATGCAAATGGAAAATCGGCAACAAAGTCCTCAGGACGTATGCAACATTTTGTTTTGAATCCAGCTGTTCATCATCCGTTTTGTCCATCGGCTGAGGAAAATAGGCTGTCAGTGTAAACCAAGCAACAAAATTTCATTTATTTTTTTCAATTACT